GAAGAAAACAAAGTAGAGAATGGTAAGAATAAAGTGATTGAATAGTTAAACCTGTAGAATGATTATGAATATCTCCTTCACAATCACATTATGTCTTTATAAAACTTGGACAGTATTGCTAACAGTTTACTCTGTATCAAACTCTTCTAGTTAGTATCATCTGATTGTTTATTATAAGATGCTAGTGCTAGTACAAAATAATGTCATATGTATTATTTTTCTTCCTGAGAGGAGATCATAGTATTTTATACAGAGAATTGCATGATTGGTGCATAATCTATAAAGTTTAATCCTAAAATGGAGCATTTATTATTATTGTAAGAGTCTAATCCAAATCACCCAATGCTATTTATATTTCCTGTTCATTAACTTAGAAATGTTTTTATAGAATTCAGTGGAACTTCATTCGTTGATTGAAATCAGATTTCAAGGAACCTAACTATGGCTGGATCGCATCTCACTGTATGCCCTCCCCACTTCTCCGTACTGCACAAGCATACAGACATAAATGCACATAATCAAAAGTGTGTTATACAGTGACAAAAGGAACACATTGAAAATAAATTTGAAAGTGATTATTATCTTCCCAGCATTTCCTAAAAAGGAGGCTACATCATCACCTCCTTTTTATAAGTTTAGTTACAAGAATTGATTTAACCAACAATAAGAATTTCCTTAACCAACAACATGCTTTATAGTCTAAATGGGGAGAAAAGAAGCAATAGAAATTACCCTCTCTTATACAACCCCCAAAACATGTGTCTACCAAATGGCATGGTCATAAAACCTTAATTTAAATGATTGAAGGGGAAGGGTTTGAGCGGAAATGGGAAGAAAATGTAAACACCACAAATTGTTAAGACAAGAGTTCTCTCACCTTTGTAGCCAAAAAGCAGCAGGGAATTGGCACAAGATCCCTTATACCCAAAGATTATCCTCTTTCAATTCTTAAATCAAAACTAGAGGCACTGGTTTTCAAGGTTTTGCCCTGTGTGATGGTCTTGTTGTTGCTGTTTTTAATGGTGTCTTCTACAGTTTTGAACATTATTGGAAGAAAAACCTCCAATAAATGGTAAGCATATTTCTGAGATGACTCCACATCTCAAATTCAGAAATACTTTCTACCAATACAGTACTTTGGAGGGGAAAATTTTGATGTAAAGTGCCACAGTGGCAAATTAGTGAAATTTGGTGCTGATAGAGAAGTAAAGCTTCCTGAATTCTTTGATTTCCTATAATCTTAATTGAAGTTAATGGGAACACAATAGCATTTACTGGAAAGAGAAAAGTTGAGGTGATGTGTTTGGGAGGTCAAAGTTAAGCTAAGAACAGATAATTACTGGTAATTGTGTCTACAATTCCAAACCATTTAGGCTGACAATGTGACAATCCAGATCCTGTGCTATTTTACTGGAAAATAAACCCATGGAATAAACTCAATGAGATTTACTTCCAAGCAAGGTATGTTGGTTAGTTACCAAAGGATTATACAGCATATTCTATTGGCATCTATCAAGCCCTAAAGCCCTGCTTTTATCAAGACCATTGATCGAAAAAGTTGTATGCTTTTATACTGCAAATGGAAGCTCTTATGAACCAGGGATGAAGGAAGGAAGGAAGGAAGGAAGGAAGGAAGGAAGGAAGGAAGGAAGGAAGGAAGGAAGGAAGGAAGGAAGGAAGGAAGGAAAGAACAGAATTTAATATCCCAATCAGATTTTCCCAATCTTCCCCAATATAAACTAATATGTTTATATTAGTTTTTACTAACAAAAAAGATAACTACAACAACATTTCTAAACACAGCATTTCTAAAGTTAAATCATTAATTCAGTGTCAGGACTTTCTATTTAGATGATCCATATTAGGAAATATAAAAATTTTAAATTTTATTTTAAAATATTTTTTGAAAAAATAGTTGTGAACATCTAGGTTGGGTATCTTGAATTTAATCTACTAATTTTCCTTTTCTTGGGGTGATCAAAGAAATAGGAGTCTTTAAAAATATTTTGGGGGAACAGATCTCTGTGTGATCTTTTTCTATTTCTCAAAAATCTAGTCTTTATCAAGGCTCTAGAAGTGATTAAAAAATGTTCTTTGAATGACAGAAGTATTTGTCAATGAAGTTCAACTCATAAGTGAATTTAATATAAAATAAGGCATAGATACATAGTGTACTTGTATGCATCCCACAATTTTTGTGTGAGTTGCATGCCCTCAAAAAAGCCTACATAGTCCAAGTAAATAAAGGGAAGGAGAAGTACATATACTTATTTTCTACCAGAAAATCCCAAACTCCTATGGTTTAGGATTTTCCTCCTTCTATGGCCACAAACTTTCACAAGATGTTTTTCTGGTGGATTGTGGCCTTTCCTGTGGCAACAAGAAGTGGATATCTACTGCTTTGTTGTGGATAAAAAGAAGGAAGGAAGGAGGAATTCTAGAGAAAGGGGGATGACATAATTGTTACAGCAAGAAAAAAAAATGTCCTGAAACCAAATGCTTAAGGGGGGAAGGGGGAGAATAGAAGCTGGAGGAAATGGGAAAGTGTGGATTAAAAGCAAAGTGTCAAATTATTTGTTTAGAGCTTCTTAAGATAACAACAACCTTGCTTGGAATTTCTTGTATCTATGATGCTACCTTAATTCTTAGATCCTTGATTAGGACTTTAATTATTAAGTTTTCACCAGCTCTAGGTGGTGAATCTGCAGATTTCTACCAATAACAACAATAAAGCAAGTCTCAGAAAATACGCACTATTTAAACCATTCTCACCCTTGCATCTCTGACTCCTAAAGGTAGCACACAAAAGTCAACCCCACATATTTTGATAAAAGTCTGTCCTTAAGCAGTCATGCTTAAACTTCTGACGTCAAAACACTCCCAAGAATTCAATACATTCCCCAAGTGCTTTATAAGGCAAATAAGTTGGAGTGAATACACATAAAGTCCTATTAGTGTATTCCTCTATTCTAATAATATGTCATTATTAATAGTTAACTTTGTTGTTGTTGTTGTTTTCTTGTTTCCAGTAAAGCATATGCTTTTAAAACAAAAATTATTGTGGGCCACATTCAGGTAATTCAGGGGCCTTGGTGAAGGTGTTCTCACTCAGATTTTATGCAGAGGAAAGTTTCTAAAGGAGACGGAAACCCCTCCCTCTAGGCCCCACTCCCTGCCCCCCCCTCCACTCCATCTGTAACAACCTGGTTCTTTAAAACTCATTTAAGTAGATAGTATTTCAATAGAACTTACTTTAAGGTTAGCAGCTCCTAAGTCCTCTTTGGAGTAAACAGTGTGCCATCAATGCTTCCTATTTCTGCAATGGAGCTGCCTTTATCTGCCTGGAAAAGTGTTCTCCCTTTCCTGCCCCCTTCCAAGCCAAAGCAGGCAGTTAAAATGTCACTTAACATTCTGGAGAATGTGAAATATATTGTACATTGTCAACTCCCCAAAACCATAAAACTAACTTTATGGACCTCACGTGACTTTTGAGAGCCAGTGAGGGGTATCTGGCTGAGGTCTGGGCGATTTTTACGATCTAACTTCTAGATAAAACCCTATCCATTTGACATCTTAATGTCACAGCCACTTTTGGTATACTTACTTACTTTACTACGGGTAAAATATATACATGCGTGCATGTATGTGTGCGCGCGCACAGGGCGGGTGTGGTGTGTCTATGTATACTCAAGAGAAGGCGAGAAAATGTTTTGGAAATGACAACTCACACCCCAGCCCTCTCAAAACCATTTTAAGAAGTAACCAAAGAGTTGGGGTAAGTTTGTAAGACCAATTTTATTTACTACAAGAGTGTGTGTGTGTGTGTGAGAGAGAGAGAGAGAGAGAGAGAGAGAGAGAGAGAGAGAGAGAGAGAGAGACGGAGGGAGGGAGAGAGGGAGGGAGGAAGGAAGGAAGAGAGAGAGGGACAGAGAGACGGAGGGAGGGAGGGAGGGAGGAACAGAGAGAGGGAGGGAGATAGAGAGGGGGAGAAGGAGGGGGGAGGGAGGGAAAAAACATTGCTGTAAGCTGTACTTTAAGAATATCAAAGAATATTTCCCTGTTGCAACAGACTTTAATCATAGCACTGTGATTTAAGGGGAGGAGGGAAAGAAAAGAAATTTAGATTACCAGATTAATTTTTAAAGGGAAAAAGAAAAATTGCCTCATGCACATTGTTTATTTTAGTTCTGTTGAGAACTGTGATCTTTCCATCCTGAATGCAGTGTGTGTGTGCGTGTGTGTGTGTGTGTAATATTTGCAGGATTATATAGAAGCAAACAGAACAGATAATAACATATGTACTTAGTTCTAAAATTTCACTGGCATGTTGTCATTCTATGATAACTTCAGTGACTCCCTAAATGGTTGGTTTGTGGTCTTTGGAGCTGCAATCTGAATCACATTTACCTGAAAGTAAAGGCCTTTGTGATCTTTGGAAATTTTTTGGTCAAGAATATGGCCAGAGTCTTAGTCTGAGGAGGAAAGAAATTTTTGAGAACTGAACCACTGGCTTCTCTTTTTTCTGAGTTGTTCTAGTTCAGCATCTAATACCGCTTACAGGGGATGATTTTGTATCCTTGGCTCATTAGAGATTTTAAGAGAACGGGACAAAGACCACTAAGGAGAACCTGGAAGCTGGGTCAAGCAGTGAGTGAAGAGTATACACTTTCTCTGGGCCTCTTCTTAAAATGTAGATTTTGCTGATGAGTAACTTTAATGCTGTAACTTGTGAAAATGGTGGAATAAAGAAATGCAAAGAAGGGCACTATTTTTCTGGCCAGGAGAAACGTTTATTTGACTTCAAGTTAAGGCTACAAACCAATACGAACAGCGTCTTGGCAAGGATGAGAACAGGCAGCTAGACATGACAAATGCCATTTCAGACACACAGAAACACTGAATTCACCCTGCCCACTAAAACTTCCTATTAGTCACTGTAGAAATATTTCTAGTATTTACAAACATTTTAAACATACTATGGTTGGTCCAATCATATACCCTTTTAAAGTGAACTTCACTCACATTTATTTAAAAAAGAAAGAAGGAAAGTTGCAGAACTGGCCTGTGATAAAAACAAGGCCAGGAATCAAATCACAGACTTGACAATTTCAAAGACAGATACATGAGCTTATATAGAGAGATATACTGGTTTTTTTTTTTAAGAAAAGGGTTTGTTGAGTTGATGGTTTTTAATTTTCTTTCTTTTTTTTTCTTCCTGCTAGTGAACTGCAGGAGCCCCTCAACGTGAGAGTAGAAGGAAAAGATGTAGGGTTCCACATAAAGTTGTGAACTTTTAAGAACCCATCTTTCTTTCCCCATACTGGCTTATAAATAAGTTATAACATTTAAAAAGCACATTAAAAGAAAGAAAAGAGAAAAGAAAAGGACATGCTAACTTTTTCCAGAAAGCATCATTATAGCACGGACACAAACATTTAAAACATCTAAAGCATCAAAGAAGCCTCTGGATTTTATCTTTTAATTTAAAGGGGGTGATTGCAGCAAAAGACACAATCCTGGAATAATAGTACCCATGAAATTGTTTATTATTATTAATAATAATTAATAATAATAATAATTAAAAAATCAACAGCATGCTGAATGGAAAGTGCTTCACTTTACAGTACTCCAACTTAACAAAAACAAATCTGGCTGTTGCTTTTCATTTGCTTGCTTGTTTTAAACTTTCTTACTTCCTGCCCCTCTTTTCTATTTCTTAATATTCCACCTTGATATAATTTATGGTTGAAAAGCACTACCACCAGATGCTAAGCTCATACTTTTGAGTTTGTTATCTTTCTTCCACTTCATTCGCCTGTTTTGGAACCAGATTTTTATCTGTCTTTCGGAGAGACACAAAGCGTGGGCTATTTCTATTCGCCTTCTGCGGGTGAGGTAGCGGTTAAAGTGAAACTCCTTCTCCAGCTCCAAGGTCTGGTAGCGAGTATACGCCGTTCGGGCTCGTTTGCCATCCGGTCCGGTCATATCTGAATAATAATAACAACAGGACATGGGAAAAAATGCCTTTTGTTGGTCTGGTTTCTCTTTTTAGATCACAGGCACAGAAAGAAACCGCGCTTTCAACTGTTTCCACCTCGGTCGCCTTACACTGCAGACAAAACGCCCCAGCGATTTGAGCACACGTCTTCTCTGCGTCTCCGTTTCCTCCAAGTCAATACCCTTCGTTTTAATCTGGCTCCAGCCTTAATTCTAATTAATTTAAGTCTATGCCCCGCTCTCCTCACACAATCCCTACAGCCCTTTATGTACATATATTTATATATTTCCAGGAGTCGAGAACAAATCTGACTCCACGCAGGTTCTTGGGAAGAAACTGCTACTCTGGGGGCCTGTCTCGCAGTCCAGGGAGTCTGGTCTCCGAAGACAATCTCCGAAACCCAGCCCCTTCGCGTCCCTCTTTCCTCGTCTCTCTTTCCTCGGCCTATTTTATCCGTCAGTCCAATTCGACTGGCGATCTAAACAGGCCGGCTGGAAGGCTGAGAAGCGACTCTCTTGGCACCTTAACCCTCCCCACCTCGGCCACATTTCATTGGAAGCGACTTCCGCTGAAATCCTTAGGGCTCGCTTTCCCACCCAAGGAGAGTTAGCCGCGGCGTGCGAAGGGAAGGCAGTTCCTGCTTCCAGCTCTGCGGCGCGCACCCTTCTTTCATTTTTACCCCACGGATTGAAGGGAAAAACAGAGATTTTCGCCCTTTGCAGACGGGGAAATGTGGGACGGAGGGGGAGGGGGAGGGAGAGAGGTTGGCAGACACATCTGTGCCCCAAACAGCCTTCCTGCTTTAACCCTTCGCCTTATCTTTCCCATTTCTTTTCTTGTATTTTTCCAATTATTGCTACTTTCAACCATCTCCCTCCCTTCCGCTCTCCCCTGATACAAGATTGTTACAAGCGCTATTACTAGTATTGTTACCATCAATTCAGCTTGACTTTTGCCATGCTGATAAAACTCTATTTTTAAAAAAACGGAGGGAACCTCGATGGTTTTTTTTTTAAGAGAAGAAAATACTCTTTAAGAACTGAACGTTATAGTGAAAGAAACAAGACACTGAAAGCAAATAGAAAAGGGCATCTACAGAGAGACAGGAAAGTGGTCCCACAATGCGGTTGATTTCCTTCTCCCGTCGCCAAAGCAAATACGTCCTGCCAAAATCCTATGTTTTATGTGTATTTGTGTGTATGTATGTACACACACGCGCACGCACACACACACACGCACATACACACAGACTACAGACTCAGAGAGAGAGAGACAGGCAGACAGACAGACAGAAGGCGCAGGCACACATCGCATAGATCACCCCAGCCAAATTAAAAAGGAGCAAGTCTGTACCGTGGCTAATGTGAAGCTTTCGCATCCAGGGGAATATCTGCGGGCTTTGTCCTTCCGTGGCCGGCGTGGTGGTGGCGATCGGCTCTGCCTGAGCTCGGGCGCCGTTGCTGTTGACTTGGGAGCCGCTCTCTTCGGGCCCCGAGGACGCGCTGGTCTCGTCTATCTCAGCAAACACGGTGGCGCTAGCCGCGCCGACAGAGGCTGCCTGGTCGGCAGGGGAGGACCCGGCTGCCTTGCCTCCATGGCTTTCGCCACCACCGCCGCCGCCGCCGCTGCTGCCGCCACCGCCGCCGCCGCTGCTGGTGCTGGTGCTGCTGGAACTGCTGGTGCAAGGGAGGGATTCGGGAGAAGACAAGGAGCAGCTGGACGCTTGTCTGAACCTGTTTTCGGGCGCTGCTTGGGCAGAGAAGGCGCGAGAGCTCTCCCCAACCGCTCCAAAGTGGCTGGAGGAGGAGGATGATCGGCTGATGCTCAGATCCATTCCATTGTAGTTGTATCCCCCGTAAGAGCCGGCGTGCATGTTGCCTGGATCTCTATAAGATCCGTTCATGGAACTGCCGGCCCCATAATTTAACAGCTGATAGTCTGGGGCATTAGGATAGCGTCCTGAGAACGAGTTTACAAAGTAAGAACTCATTTGGGTTTGTATTTTGGAGGGCTTGATTTGTGGGGCTCGTGGTCGTTATAACCCCTGTGCTTGAGGATTTATGATGTATTAATGAATTATAGCGATGCACTGTACTTCGTTTTTGCTATGTATGCGGCCAAATATGGGGGTGGGGTGGGGGGTGCGTTTGGGAATCACGTGCTTTTGTTGACCAGTCGTAAATTCTCACTGATGACCTCAAGAGGCAATTCATGCTCTATGGTTACAAATAATGACAATCCGAGAATCGTTAGGCCCATGTCAATGCGCGGCTTCCAAAGAGGGAGGAAAGAAGGGGGAGGAATCTGCCAGCACAGATTGCTCCTTGTTGGCATTGTGCGCCACCTACTGGGCAAATAAAAAAGTAGCCGACAGGGAGGTTACCTCACTCACCTTTTTTTTTAAAGTAGTAAGCGCTCAGTTTTTGTGTCCTGCCTTTCTAGAAATAAAATATTTTCCCCCAAAAGTGTCGTTTCTGTATTTTTTTCTCTACTTTCTCTCTTTCTTCTAGAGGTGAACATGCTTTTCTAATGCGGAAAAGATAATTTCTTGTTATAATAGATGCAGTATAAAATTG